GTTACTACATTGTATACCAGTAACTAGAACTAGTTACCATGTTATAAACCAGTTACTATAACTAGTTACTACATTGTATACCAGTAACTATAACTAGTTACCATGTTATAAACCAGTAACTAGAACTAGTTACTACGTTGTATACCAGTAACTAGAACTAGCTACAACGTTGTGTACCAGTTACTATAACGAGTTACTATGTTGTATACCAGTTACTATAACGAGTAACTATGTTGTATACCAGTAACTATAACTTGTTACTATATAATTTATTATTACTTAATTTGTATAACATCACAATGTAAACATGCAGTTTATTTAAAAAATAAAGTGGTAAAAACCACCACACCACTACTGAAATATGTCACCACAAATGATGGATCAGATTTTAAATGTTGTTGTTACCATTGTTATTATTTTTGCATTTTTCACTGAAAGAAATATTATACTAGAGCAATATTTGTTTCTGCATAAAATTGTAAGTATGTACTACTTTTCTGATACAGTGGTATAATCTTTCAGGAAAAAATGCTATTGTATATCTGTACAGGTATTCATTCTTCAAGAGGAAATATCTCCCTTTTCAGGGTTTGGCAAATCAAAACAGTTTGTAACTATAAGTCAAATTACTCTCACCAGAAGTAAAACACTTCATTCATGGAGGTGAGAAAAGCAGTGGTATGATTGTCCTAAATCTATGTTGTATACAGGAATATAAAATGTTTTTAATGTGTACGTGATTACGTTATGTTATGTAATAATGATATTGATTTTTGTAGATAAATATACCAATGACATACCTTACACCATCCAAATATACGTAAACGAATGTACGCTACTCCAAGCAGTAGCTTCTCAGTGACGGAAGGGAGGCAACTCCAACACAAAAATTAAAACATTTAGCTGATGTATACAGGTAAGACAGAAGCAATGATTCCTTCCTTCTGATGTTGCCATTAATTCAGTGTGCTTTGGTAAAACCCGAGTCCATCGTATGTCTAGATCTGTACATTGTTAAAATAACATTCACTTCACAATCACATTTCACCACGGAAAACATGATATGTTCAATGCAAGCTATACTTGACAGATAATGTCATATCTGCTGAAATATTGTGAAGGATTATTTCTAAATAAAACGAATTCTTTCAATACTAAGAGTTATAATGTTGACAGATGCCTACTACTACAAATTAGTATAATTGTTTACTTCGATAAAAGAGTCCCAGTCTATCTAAATTTACTAATATATCTGCATCAGCTGTATGTACATGCTTGTGTTACCTATATACTCTTGTGGAAAATGAAAGACTGGTACACTTTAAATTTACACAAAGAAAATGTTTGCACTTCTACTGCTAACCAGTAAATACATACTGTATAAATATTATAAACAAACAATGTATATCAATAGAATTATTATCAATTTATCACAAGATGATTAGAATTATTGCTGAAATATGTGATATTAAATATAATGGCATAAATATTGATTATTACATACCACTTTGTAGCTAGCGCTTCCTGCTGGGGAACATACATTATATAAAGGAACATACATTATATAAAACAACACGTTATAAGGTCTGCCACTTCAAAATATCATTTTGTTATATTATATTAAAAAGGCACCATCAAATAAATTCTGGACCACATGATGTACACAACTTTGTTTCAAACATATTAAGGTACCAGTACAGACACTATTCGCTGTATAGGAAAATACATCTACACATTTCCCATAAAACATGATTTTGACTTGATGCAACTCTAATCTAGATTGATGAATCATGTCTTCAAGAAAGGCTACATGTACCTTAAATATGACTACATTGATTTGGGATAGATATAGTTGTAATTTCTCTATAGCTAAATGAATTGTAACTCTACCGTCCGGTCTAGCTACCACAGTTTTGTTAGTGTACGAGATCCACCCACCGCTGGCACCATCATTTAACACTGACACTTGGACCTACTCATTGTTTACTATTCTACACAACAGCTACACTATACACTGACTATTCTGAGAAGCTGAATGGCAAGTTCCTACACTATTTACAACCAACCTTACTACGAGGTATTCATACTGTTTCTCTTTACAATAAACACTCTAAACGAGTGTGCCATTGTCAAATATTAAATAAGAAAACTTTTGTTTTTATTTCTGAATTATAACAAAGTTGTATATCATGAATTTACTTATATCTTAAAACTGAAAACAGACATGCTTGGTGAAACTGTAATACCATCATGACTATTAGGCCTAGTGACCTACCACTTAAACTACCATTTTACTAGTAACCATGGTGATCTAACTCTAAAACTACCATTTTATTAGTAACCATGGTGATCTACCTCTAAAATTACCGTTTTACTAGTAACCATGGTGATCTAGCTCTAAAACTAACATATTACAACCATGGTGATCTAGCTCTAAAACTACCATTTTACTAGTAACCATGGTGATCTAGCTCTAAAACTACCATTTTACTAGTAACCATGGAGATCTATCTCTAAAACTACCATTTTACTAGTAGCCATGGAGATCTAGCTCGAAAACCACCATGTTACTAGTTACCATGGTGATTTACCTCCTTGACAACCATATTACCACCAGAAATTGTAAACATGAGGATACAACAAAAGTTTGAAATACCTTGTGTTATATGTTAAAATAATGGGGTTTTTCCCCTGAATTTGTTGACAGTTGTTCAGATTTTGTTTGCATGTATAAAACTATTTTATGTAAACCAGAAAAAGCTGTGAAATGATGGCACAAGTTGGCCACCTTGGCATTGTACACGAGGGACATGTCCTTCTTTGGAGGTTTCAGGTTGACACCAACATGATCTCACTAGTGAAAAATTGATGAATTTATAAAAAATACAAGACAACATACAAAATGTACACCTTAGCTTGATGATCCTCCTACGAAGCGTTAACAAATATTCTAAATATTAACAATAAAGTCTGAAAACCTAGATATATTTACATTTCCAGTGAGTGTATTTTCCTGCTTGCAGTTACAACAGCAGTGCCCCACAACATACATCCGTACAAAAGAAGCCATTTTGTGTCACTATGTGCATACAATGTTTATTGCTGCAACGAATATAAACAGTAAGACATTAAAGGTCCGATAAAGGGGAGACAACTACGTACACACGAACAGACATTGTCAAGCACTCCCTGCCTGTGTAAAGCTTTAAGACATAATCTATTACCAGTACTGTATGGAGTGATGGGGTAAGCAGGCAATGGTTCAGAAACAAGGTGTAAGATGTTGATGATGATATTGTGTTGGAGTTTCCTACCAATGTCTTGTTGTAGATAAGTAAGTAAAGACATGTTTGTATGTACAATGTATATCATAACCTCGTACTTAAGTCTCCGGTCACCCCACTAATAATTACTAGTGTCTAAGTCTCCGGTCACCCCACTTATAATAACTAGTGTTTTTAGGGACAGATCAAAGTCTCCGGTCACCCCACTAATAATTACTAGTGTCTAAGTCTCCGGTCACCCCACTAATAATTACTAGTGTTTTTAGGGATAGATTAAAGTCTCCGGTCACCCCACTAATAATTACTAGTGTCTAAGTCTCCGGTCACCCCACTCATAATTACTAGTGTTTTTAGGGATAGATTAAAGTCTCCGCTGATTCCTGTACAGAAACAGCAGTATATATATACTTATTTCAGCACTAATAATTACTAGTGTCTATGGGGATAGATTAGTCTGGTTATGTCCACAGCTACATCACAATGAAGCTAGAAATGGTGAGATGAATGACATTACTGCTACACTAAAAAGCTGTTCCACATACAAACATCAACCATGTTTCCAGAAAATACGATAAATGACAGAAAGCTACACTAAAAGGCTGTTCCACAAACCATGTTTCCAGAAAATATGATAAATGACAGTAAGCTACACTAAAAGGCTGTTCCACATACAAACATCAACCATGTTTCCAGAAAAACCTCTACGAAACAGACAAATTTAAACTAACAACACATTACACCCAGTCACTACCTCGAACAGAAACCAACAACTGACACCTGATCACAACCTTAATCAAAATTGTTGACACATAACCAGTAACATTCGATCACAACCTCGGTACTAAGTGCGGACCCATAACAGTAATATTTGCTCACAACCTCAGTGAAAAGTTTGGATCCAAAACCAGTAACATTCGATCACAACCTCGGTACTAAGTGCAGACCCATAACCAGCGAATTCAATGAAACGTGTCGACCAGGTGAAATGATTTGGTACAGCAAGACTTGGATGATAGTATGTCATCAGTAAATGAGTATTAGTCAGATATTTAGAGATTTCAAATAATTCAGTGTTTGGCAGCTTTGAACAAAACTCTTTGTTTTGTGTGGAGATTTTCTTTCAAATTGTGGCAAGATTTTCATTAAGTGCAGAATGAGTTTTGAAACTGACAGGATTTGACAGTTACATTGGGGCATGAATTCATTCAGGTGGACTATTCTCCGTTCACTAACTTACACTCCTATAAATCATCAATAACTGTAGGCTGTTACGTAAGACACCAACACTCGAGTCCTCTAAACGTTTCCTACGAAATACTAAATAAGAGACAGCAGTTATTTCAAGGGGAGACAATTGCAAAATATGTTTTATTTATTAGATGAAATATTTTTCTATGAATTAAACAATAAAATTTATAAATCACAACCTTACATATTAATTATAGGTTTAAATTCACTGTTTATTGTTAAGATAAATAAAAATCTTTGTGATGCATTTCTGATACAAATTAGCAGAACAAGTATTTATGTTATTCCTACCCTCTGAGACCAATGATGATTCAAGTGAAACTGTTAAGCTATTCATTGTTTAGGAGACCTATATGTAAATGTGAAGAATTTGTGAAGAATACGCTATAACAATAAGAAAACAAACTTTGGAATGTAAGTATTATAATCCAGGACAAGCCGACTATGAAGCTTTCTTCTGTAATTATGTTCCAAGTGCTGTATTGACTCTTCATTCTACTTAGATATTATTTTATTGATTGAGAGAATAAAAAGGAATGTACCCGTGCTCTAACTGCGATATTGTAGAGAGAAAAGAATGGTCACATTATTTACAAAATCTAATAAAATTCCAACCAACCTTTGTAATAACATTAGAGATCTTTCTTCAAATTACTTTCTCACCACATATAATAAATAAATAGTTCAGGAATGGTATGTAGTATGTCATTACCAAATACTTTTAGAACTTGATAACAGATCCCAAATATACAGGTGTACTTCCTATATTAACCTTGTTATCCAGTTGTATTTTCTGCTTCAACCTCGAAATCCAATATTAACTTGTTTATCTAGTTGTACTTCTGGTATTAACCATATTATGTAGTTGTACTTCTGGTATTAACCATATTATGTAGTTGTACTTCTGGTACTTATCTGGTTATCTATTTGTACTCTTTAACCTCGAAATCCAGTATTAACTTGGTAATGTAGTTTTACTTCCAGTATTAACCTCGTTATCTAGTTGTCAACCTTGTCATATAGTTATTTAATTGAAATCAAATTGGTAAAAAGTTTCTAATTGTGGTCAATACAATGATACTGTTTGTATAAGGTAATGCTTCACAGATAGCATGATTCTCATTAATAGTAAAAATATCAGACCTGTGATTCAATAAAAATGTCACTCATGTGTCATCAATCAAGTGCACCATTGATGTCAGAGGTAGTGAATACACTGTAACCTACCTAATTAGTTACAAATACATTTTACAGAAACCTACACATTGTTACATAGAAATACATTGTAATCTACACATAGTTACATAGAAATACAATGTAATATACACATAGTTACATAGAAACACAATGTAACCTACACATAGTAACATAGAAACACAATGTAACCTACACATAGTTACATAGAAATACATTGTTACCAACACATAGTTACATAGAAATACATTGTTACCAACACATAGTAACATAGAAATACGATGTAACCTACACATAGTTACATAGAAAAACATTGTAACCAACACATAGTAACATAGAAATATGATGTAACCTACACATAGTTAAACATACAATTGTATTATATATATAAAGCTAGAGTGGATAATTGTAGATTTACTTACTTCCTTGTTGAAGTTTTTGTGTAACACAAAATAGAATGTTGCTCCAGTAAAATGTTAAGCTATGAACAGCATGTCGCTAGGAATGTGGACACAACGAGAGTGGAGTTTAACAGGTGGATTTATACAGGTAAAACATAGATCAGTCGTTAGTGGAATGTTGGTTATGTAAAGGTTAAAATACACATAGGATAAAAATATAAACAATAGACAGTTATCTTTATAGAAATTACAGGGACGTGACGAGGGAACCCATTCCTACTACACAAGTTTCAGGGTAAACAGTGATATACGTGTATTTATAAAATGGGTACGATGATTGAACACACACTGTTGTCAGTATATTAGCAGTATTTGTAGGACGAGTATAATTGCAGTTGAATATAAACTCACTGCAGTATAGTACCAGTGCATGTTTATATTTCAATATCAGTTATACACAACTTTGTATTACATAACAATCACATACATTTACGTTATAATTGCAGTATGTTAACAGTATAACTACAGTGTGTTAACAGTATAACTACAGTGTGTTAACAGTATAACTACAGTGTGTTAACAGTATAACTACAGTGTGTTAACAGTATAGCTACAGTGTGAACACCATTGTGTTGATAATGGTAAGGCAGTTAGACACACGTGTACATCAGGGACGATAGTAGGCTGTCTCGTACAGTGACAATCCCAGTATGATAGTAGGCTGTCTCGTACAGTGACAATCCCAGTATGATAGTAGGCTGTCTCGTACAGTGACAATCCCAGTATGATAGTAGGCTGTCTCGTACAGTGACAATCCCAGTATGATAGTAGGCTGTCCCGTACAGTGACAATCCCAGTATGATAGTAGGCTGTCCCGTACAGTGACAATCCCAGTATGATAGTAGGCTGTCCCGTACAGTGACAATCCCAGTATGATAGTAGGCTGTCCCGTACAGTGACAATCCCAGTATGATAGTAGGCTGTCCCGTACAGTGACAATCCCAGTATGATAGTAGGCTGTCCCGTACAGTGACAATCCCAGTATGATAGTAGGCTGTCCCGTACAGTGACAATCCCAGTATGATAGTAGGCTGTCCCGTACAGTGACAATCCCAGTATGATAGTAGGCTGTCCCGTACAGTGACAATCCCAGTATGATAGTAGGCTGTCCCGTACAGTGACAATCCCAGTATGATAGTAGGCTGTCCCGTACAGTGACAATCCCAGTATGATAGTAGGCTGTCCCGTACAGTGACAATCCCAGTATGATAGTAGGCTGTCCCGTACAGTGACAATCCCAGTATGATAGTAGGCTGTCCCGTACAGTGACAATCCCAGTATGATAGTAGGCTGTCCCGTACAGTGACAATCCCAGTATGATAGTAGGCTGTCTCGTACAGTGACAATCCCAGTATGATAGTAGGCTGTCTTGTACAGTGACAATCCCAGTATGATAGTAGGCTGTCTTGTACAGTGACAATCCCAGTATGATAGGAGGCTGTCCCATACAGTGAAAATCCCAGTAGATTAGTAGGCTGTCCCGTACAGTGACAATCCCAGTATGGAAACAGCAATGTAAGCTGCTTTTGTTTGGATAGCAGTATATATATACTTATTTCAGTATGGTAATGGAATGTTGGCTGATTCCTGTACAGAAACAGCAGTATATATATACTTATTTCAGCATGGTAATGGAATGTTGGCTGATTCCAGTACATAAACAGCAGTATATATATACTTATTTCAGTATGGGAATGGAATGTTGGCTGATTCCAGTACAGAAACAGCAGTACAACATGCTTCTTGCTGTAAGATAATTACACACAACGTATTAAGATTATAGTATGTGTCCCGTACAGTGACAATCCCAGTATGATAGTAGGCTGTCTCATACAGTGACAATCCCAGTATGATAGTAGGCTGTCTCGTACAGTGACAATCCCAGTATGATAGTAGGCTGTCTTGTACAGTGACAATCCCAGTATGATAGGAGGCAGTCCCATACAGTGAAAATCCCAGTAGATTAGTAGGCTGTCCAGTACAGTGACAATCCCAGTATGGAAACAGCAATGTAAGCTGCTTTTGTTTGGATAGCAGTATATATATACTTATTTCAGTATGGTAATGGCATGTTGGCTGATTCCAATACAGAAACAGTAGTATATATATACTTATTTCAGTATGGTAATGGCATGTTGGCTGATTCCAATACAGAAACAGTAGTATATATATACTCATTTCAGTATGGTAATGGAATGTTGGCTGATTCCTGTACAGAAACAGCAGTATATATATACTTATTTCAGTATGGGAATGGAATGTTGGCTGATTCCAGTAAAGAAAAAGCAGTAAAACATGCTTCTTGCTGTAAGATAATTACACACAACGTATTAAGATTATAGTATGGTAATGTACATGTCTCGACAGCTGATTCTCGTACAGTGACAATCCCAGTATGATAGTAGGCTGTCCCGTACAGTGACAATCCCAGGATGGAAACAGCAATGTAAGCTGCTTTTGTTTGGATAGCAGTATATATATTCTTATTTCAGTATGGTAATGGAATTTTGGCTGATTCCAGTACAGAAACAGCAGTACAACATGCTTCTTGCTGTAAGATAATTACACACAACGTATTAAGATTATAGTATGTGTCCCGTACAGTGACAATCCCAGTATGATAGTAGGCTGTCTTGTACAGTGACAATCCCAGTATGATAGTAGGCTGTCCCGTACAGTGACAATCCCAGTATGATAGTAGGCTGTCCCGTACAGTGACAATCCCAGGATGGAAACAGCAATGTAAGCTGCTTTTGTTTGGATAGCAGTATATATATACTTATTTCAGTATGGGAATGGAATGTTGGCTGATTCCAGTACAGACACAGCAGTATATATATACTTATTTCAGTATGGGAATGGAATGTTGGCTGATTCCAGTACAGAAACAGAAGTATATATATATACTTATTTCAGTATGGTAATGGAATGTTGGCTGATTCCAGTACAGAAACAGCAGTACAACATGCTTCTTGCTGTAAGATAATTACACACAACGTATTAAGATTATAGTATGGTAATGTACATGTCTCGACAGCTGATTCCAGTATATATATATATACTGACTTCAAAATGATATCAACACTGAAATAGCTAGAATGGCATATACCGATTCTCTGACAATGATAGAAACAGGATACATGATGATTTTAATCTGATAACAGCTGTGTTGACATTGTTACTGAGATGATACCACAATAAAAGTTATAGAAGAGACAGGTGTGATCTTAGCACCACTTAGGAGGACTGCATGGCCCACTTGGCAAAGGCCTTGACCCCATTCCTAGCCCATTCATTACCAGTGATGCATGACTGTTCAAACATGTCCATATTGGCCAGGCTACAGGCTCCGATATAAGCAGCATGGTAACGATGGGGCGAGGCATGTACCTAAAATAAAAGGAAAATATATTTATTGACACCAATTCACCTTCAAACTATTCTTTCATGATAATTGACAGGAATTTGATATACAAGAGGCTTAAAAGGCCTGTATTGCTCACTTGGATATTTAAGAGATCGTGGTAAAATCTTCTAATTAACAATATTATATTAAGTCTCCAGGGACCGGAGCAAAGCTTATCCTGGTAGCATGATTGTGTTTGTCTCTAAATGCTAAGCATGCAACTGATTGGTTAAAAGATGTGATCTCAACCGTTTCTAAATTAAAACCCAAGGACTACGTCTCCTGGGACTTGAAGGACCACATGGGCAATCAGTATGAGTGTATATTCATCTGTTCATGGTATTGAGCAGTTATAAGGTGGGAATCTCAACTATTTACATGTTATGACCTATGGACTTGGTCCCCAGGGCATGGATTGGACCCAATGTCAATCCTAGTTACATATGTCTGTTAATTTCCAAGGGACCAGCCCTTAGATAATGACCGATGAGGGACCAGCCCCCAGATAATAACCCAGAGACCAGCCCCCAGATAATGACCCAAGGACCAGTCACCAGATAAGGACACAGGGACCGGCCCCCAGATAATGAACCACGGACAAGCCCCAAGATAATGACACAGGGACCAGTCCCAAGATAATGACACAGGGACCAGCCCCCAGATATAAACCCAGGGACCAGCCCCCAGATAATGACACAAGAACCAGCCCCCAGATAATGACACAGGGACCAGCCCCCAGATAATGACACAGGGACCAGCCCCCAGGGTGCCGTTTCACGACGCGTACGTAAAGTTACGGGTACCCGTAAATATTTACGTGCACGTAACTTAGTGCACATAAGTTACGTAGGGGGTGTTTCACGAAACCGTACGTAACTTTTCACATTTACGTACAGGTTTACGTGCACGTAAATTATACCGGAAGTGAATAATCCAACATGATGTGATGATCCTTAGGTTTAAAGCGGTTACAATCTTAACCATTCAATGATTTCTTTAGACTTAACATACGGCGATTCTCATTGGAATATTTCCATTTATGAGGTGGCCAGAACTTTCAGAAGTGGAACTCTCTAGTGTCATAGTTAAACTAATTAGAGCCCCGTAGAACCCGAGGCAGCACATGAGAGTCCGGTACAGCTGGATAGAAGTATTTGAACCGCCCGGGCCTTTTCTTTTGATGTCATGTCATACATGTAGCAACTGTGTATTTTTTTTTTTACATATTTTAACAATATGAATGTAATGATGAAGAAACATATATTCTACAAATCCATACTTGCGAACTCTCCCTATTTTGGATGGAGATTCCCGATTTTGAACCCAGAAATTCAGCATTTTCAACTATTCCTATTTTCTATTATCTGATGATTTCATCTGGAAGAACAACTCAAAAGATGCCACTTATGAGTTATCTAGTTATAGGTAAAAAATATGTATATATACAAAACAATATTATGCCAATTTAGAATTAGAAATATAACAACTGTCAAGTACATGTACAGCTAATATCGCACATGTGACAGTACCACGGAATTAAATTTTAAGTCCGTCACAGTACTTGTACTATTGGGACTATCTGATCGCCAGTTCAATTAAATATTAATAAGTACATTGTTTGTAAAACTCTGATACAACTAAATATTGTTGTAATTTTAGGCATGGAAATATTAATTGTGAGGATTTTTATCATTTCACAAACCCGATGATTTCCAATTCGTATTATTATAGAGGGCACAATAAAACACTGGGCAAATATTACATGTAACTGAAAGTTTACAAACAAAAATAAGCTATTGGATTTGGAGATGCCGCGGACTCTTGGGGTGAACCGGAATCAGTAGTCAAACATAAGCCAATTAATTGTGTAGGTATTGTTATTATAAGGATGCAACACAGTAAAAGTCTATCCTCTTAAAAAAAACAAAGATTGTCAGACTTGCGACGTGTTGTAATAGAAGCACCACAACAATATCACAGCGACAAGATAGCGGATAGTTAAACGTTAAGTTACCTTCAAACATAACTTCCGTCGACTTAAACTTTCTTGCCGTTGCTTTCCCTTTCAACTACTGAATCATTGCATAATCTACATGTACAAAATATTACTCGGAGATGAGGGGTTGTCTAGATCTCAGTGGTAGGGATCAGGTCGGTTGGGGGACAGTTTCACAAAGCGGTACTCGTCGAATGACAATTATATCGGGATCAAATCGTTATAAAACAACCATTTTCTAACATACTTTCATATTTTTTCAATTACAAAAATATTTGCAACAGGTGCGCCAAGGTTTGGTAATGTGAACTCTGGAATACAAAGAAAGGACGGACGAAATGACACAACAGTTCGTGATTTTTTGGGCAGATTATGATCAATTTCTTACTCTTTATTGATATACGTTAGTGACGCGTCATAAGCCTTTCAAGATACGTCATTTCTCCATTGCATCTATCAACATTTTTTCAATAAATTTCATGAATTTGTTTGACATCCGATTTTTATACTTAACGTCCTGCCAGAAAATTACACGTTGTTCTTGCTAGTAGTATTTACATGTACATAATTCTCTAAGGTTCTGTTATTGAGATACCAGTTTTCGTCTCCGTATCAAATTTACTGTTGGCGTCTTTCTAATAGGACACAATGGCCAATTAACTCATTATGATTTAAAAACTAAGAAATGGGTGATAACATTAACCTAATTAACGAAAGCTTTGGATAATTCTGCAGATGTACGCAAAATGTCGTTAAAATGGATCAAACAACGAAGCCAGGGGAAATTATTGGAAAGCCCCCCAGTAAAATAACATACAACCCAATGGGATAATGACGTAACGTTGAAGACTTACATGTACGGCACGTCATTGCATACAACATCTTTCATACATTTCTACACATTTTTCTTTAAATCATCTTAAAGTTAATCGGAAATGTTATAAAAACAAAATTTGATATACCGTGAAATAGAATTTCCCACATTTTTATTTCGTATTAATTTTATACTTTTTCTTAAAATCAGAGACGTATACGTCTCTGTTAAAATGGATAGCAAATTTGCAGAAATTCATTTTTTCTGATATAATCAGGTTAAACATGAAAAACGACCTGCATAGCATAATTATTAAGCTAAATTTTATATTATATCTTCAAAATCAGCTAACGAAATAATATTGCAGTATTTTGAAATAAATATCATCCTTTTTGAAATTAAAATTTCGTTCAATTTCATCACAAAACTCATCATTAAAAATCATGAAATATATCTAGAAATGTATGGAATATATAGCCGTCGCTGTTATCATTTAAGTAAAATATTGGGAAAATACTGTACTTTTGGCCCCTACTTGTGATTTGTTGGTTTAGACACACTCATCCCCTATGTACGTAATGCCCACTGGAGTTTATTTATTTAACACGACACAATACGGCAGCCATTTGTTTCCTTTTATGACGTCTAAACGTAAACTTACGTGTGGTTTACGGCAGGGATTTGTTGGCGTAAGTTACATGAGGGTTTGGGCGTAACTTACGGGTACCCGTAACTTATTTATGTGCACTCGTAACTTATGTGTTCGTCATGAAACGGACCAAAAAACTTACGTACGGTTTACGGGTACCCGTAACTTTAGGTACGCGTCGTGAAACGGCACCCAGATAATGACCCAAGGACCAGTCACCAGATAAGGACCCAAGGACCAGTCACCAGATAATGACCCATGGACCAACCCCCAGATAATGACCCATGGACCAACCCCCAGATAATTACACAGGGACCAGTCCCCAGATAATGACACAGGGACCAGCCGCCAGATAATGACACAGGGACCAGTCCCCATATAATGACACAGGGACCAGCCCCCAGATAATGACCCAAGGACCAGTCACCAGATAATGACCCATGGACCAACCCCCAGATAATGACCCATGGACCAACTCCCAGATAATGACACAGGAACCAGTCCCCAGATAATGACACAGGGACCAGCCCCCAGATAATGACCCAAGGACCAGCCCCCAGATAATGACCCAGGGACCAGTCCCCAGATAATGACACAGGGACAAGCCCCCAGATAATGACACAGGGACCAGTCACCAGATAATGACACAGGGACCAGCCCCCAGATAATGACACAGGGACCAGCCCCCAGATAATGACCCAAGGACCAGTCACCAGATAATGACCCATGGACCAACCCCCAGATAATGACCCAAGGACCAGTCACCAGGTAAGGACACAGGTACCAGCCCCCAGATAATGACCCACGGACCAGCCTCCAGATAATGACACAAGGACCAGCCCCCAGATAATGACACAGGTACTAGCCCAAAGTAAAACAAATTGTTATATTTACATTTGTGCTGCAACTCACTATATGAACACCACCAGCAGAAATGCATTTCATCGAGTATGAAAGCAAAAACTCTCGTGACGTTACACATGGTTTACTTACGACGTCACAGATTTATCCTTTTCAATGAGGGTCTTGTTGCTTTGCTTCGAATAACATGGAGAATGCTCTTGCATCAAACGTGCAAATGACTATGGTTAATTAGTGGTGCCAATGTCATTTAAAGGACGACGCATATATAAAATGCAGTAAATAAATAAATATTTTAAGAGCCAATAAATAAAATTAAACAATTGTGCTATAGTAAAAATGTAAATATAAGGATTGAACGGCATTTTAAAAATTTTCATGCAATATGGATTTAACCGATTTGTGTTCATACCGGTATGAAAATTTAAAAAACACTGTTCAATCACTATATGAAAACTACAAGAACATGATGTAACTCTTTCCCAATATTTTATATCTGGAAACAAACATATTAATCTTTGACATAAAGAAAAGTTATAATGAGAGTCTATGTGATTATAACTTGTCTATTTGTGTTACCTCAACAATAACTGATGGAGGAGCCAGTTTAATGAGCTCCTTCTGAAGGCGTTCAGCAAATCCAGGCATCATGGTGACGCCTCCACTCAGGTAGATAGCCCTGTGGACGAAACCAGCCATTAGTGATTAAAGAAATAAACATCAAATCTAGGCATCATGATGACGCCTCCACTCAGGTAGATAGCCCTGTGGATGAAACCAGCCATTAGTGATTAAAGAAATAAACATCAAATCTAGGCATCATGATGACGCCTCCACTCAGTTAGATAGTCCTGTGGACGAAACCAGCCATTAGTGATTAAAGAAATAAACATCAAATCCAGGCATCATGGTGACGCCTCCACTCAGGTAGATAGCCCTGTGGACGAAACCAGCCATAAGTGACCAAAAGAAAAAAACAGCAAACTTCATAACAGTGACAACAAGAATACACTCACATCCTACCATGTATACCATATATATATATACCGACTAGAAGTGTTTTTATTTACTAGGTTTAAGGATGCCAGCTCCACAGAATGTTTGATCTCACAACACTGTTGTTGATTACATTTCATTCATCTTTATATTTTTCATAATAAAAGTATAGCAAGGTATGTTTTCTTATCAGAAATGATTTAACAATAATATAGATAAACTGCAAAATACATCTTCCAGTACTTAGTGAGAGTTTTTGGCAGTGGTACAAGGATCCTTAACTATAGATATTACATACGTTGGGGTACATTGTTAACCTGTTACAGTCAGTGGTACAAGGATCCTTAACTATAGATATTACATACGTTGGGGTACATTGTTAACCTGTTACAGTCAGTGGTACAAGGATCCTTAACTATAGATATTACATACGCTGGGGTACATTGTTAACCTGTTACAGTCAGTGGTACAAGGATCCTTAACTATAGATATTACATACGCTGGGGTACATTGTTAACCTGTTACAGTCAGTGGTACAAGGATCCTTAACTATAGATATTACATACGCTGGGGTACATTGTTAACCTGTTACAGTCAGTGGTACAAGGATCCTTAACTATAGATATTACATACGCTGGGGTACATTGTTAACCTGTTACAGTCAGTGGTACAAGGATCCTTAACTATAGATATTACATACGCTGGGGTACATTGTTAACCTGTTACAGTCAGTGGTACAAGGATCCTTAACTATAGATATTACATACGCTGGGGTACATTGTTAACCTGTTACAGTCAGTGGTACAAGGATCCTTAACTATAGATATTACATACGCTGGGGTACATTGTTAACCTGTTACAGTCAGTGGTACAAGGATCCTTAACTATAGATATTACATACGCTGGGGTACATTGTTAACCTGTTACAGTCAGTGGTACAAGGATCCTTAACTATAGATATTACATACGCTGGGGTACATTGTTAACCTGTTACAGTCAGTGGTACAAGGATCCTTAACTATAGATATTACATACGCTGGGGTACATTGTTAACCTGTTACAGTCAGTGGTACAAGGATCCTTAACTATAGATATTACATACGCTGGGGTACATTGTTAACCTGTTACAGTCAGTGGTACAAGGATCCTTAACTATAGATATTACATACGCTGGGGTACATTGTTAACCTGTTACAGTCAGTGGTACAAGGATCCTTAACTATAGATATTACATACGCTGGGGTACATTGTTAACCTGTTACAGTCAGTGGTACAAGGATCCTTAACTATAGATATTACATACGCTGGGGTACATTGTTAACCTGTTACAGTCAGTGGTACAAGGATCCTTAACTATAGATATTACATACGCTGGGGTACATTGTTAACCTGTTACAGTCAGTGGTACAAGGATCCTTAACTATAGATATTACATACGCTGGGGTACATTGTTAACCTGTTACAGTCAGTGGTACAAGGATCCTTAACTATAGATATTACATACGCTGGGGTACATTGTTAACCTGTTACAGTCAGTGGTACAAGGATCCTTAACTATAGATATTACATACGCTGGGGTACATTGTTAACCTGTTACAGTCAGTGGTACAAGGATCCTTAACTATAGATATTACATACGCTGGGGTACATTGTTAACCTGTTACAGTCAGTGGTACAAGGATCCTTAACTATAGATATTACATACGCTGGGGTACATTGTTAACCTGTTACAGTCAGTGGTACAAGGATCCTTAACTATAGATATTACATACGCTGGGGTACATTGTTAACCTGTTACAGTCAGTGGTACAAGGATCCTTAACTATAGATATTACATACGCTGGGGTACATTGTTAACCTGTTACAGTCACTGGTACAAGGATCCTTAACTATAGATATTACATACGCTGGGGTACATTGTTAACCTGTTACAGTCAGTGGAATCCACTGTTTAGTCACTTCAGGAATACACTCACACAAACACCGGAGAGAGAATTGTGAATTTAGAAATTACTAAGATACAATAATTTTACAGTCATAGGCATTACAAATGTTTACCTGCATAAACAAACAGATGACATTCAATGGTACATGGAAAGCAATTTTTCAATTTCACCTTCATTGACATTGGGAGTCTCAACCATAATACATCAAGGTCAAAATACTTCCTGAAGCTCTTAATTGATGATGGCGCTTAATCATATATGACTACCTTTACATAATTATGTTTGTGCTGTCTCGTGGGTTGTTTACTTTACATATATTTGCAGCAGTCTATGAAATATTCATCTGTACATGTTTATGGCAGTTTAGCTGAAGTTTACCTATACAAATGTTTGTGACGGTTTACCTGCTATTTACCTGTACATGCGGTAAGTGATTTACCTGCTATTTTCCTGTACATATGTTTACAGCTATTAACCTGACATTAACCTGTACATGTGTTTACAGCGGTTTTCCTGCCATTTACCTGTACATATGTTTACAGCTATTTACCTGATATTTACCTGTACATATGTTTGGGGTGGTTTACCTGCCATTTATACCAGTAATAATAACACAAACGACAATACTTGTTTCCTCTGAATCTATTACAAAAAACTTGCAACATTTAACTTTACATGTTTATATACATACAACATACATATTATACATACAATCTAAAAAATCCCTATCTCTACTTGGATTGAAGATTATCTCAGCTGCTCTTGATCAGAAATGTTGTGTAACATAGAATTTGATATAGATGGTCAGCGGAGGCTAACCAGGGTGCAGAATTGCTCTGCAGTGCTGGGCAGAATTGCTCTGTAGTGATCAGTAGATGACAAATCAAGCAGCAGTGTACTATGATCTTGTAATGCATAAATTCCACAGAGTTGGAAAATCTACGAAGGTAGAAGTTTCACAGTACCCACAGGGATGTTGGTACTGCCACAACGAGGGCTGTGGAACTCGGTGAAATTATATGATTCTGTCCTTCTGCTTGACATATTTAAATTCCTTGCTTCAATCTCAAAGAGTTGTAACATCTACGAGGGTAAAAGTTACTCAGTATACATGAAGGCATACTGCCACAACGAGGGCTGTGGAACTCTCTGAAACTGATTGAGAATGTTGCACAGAAGTTTATTAATTGGGAAATTCATTGTAAGAATGATGTCCAAAATTTCAGGTGCGAAAAAATGTCTGTGAGCAGCTGATAATCCCCAAGTAATTAAACTACAATTTACCTGAACATGTGTTAACAGCAGTTTACCTGATATTTACCTGTACATTTATGTGACAGTCTAAGTGACATACCTGTACACATTTTTGGGGTGGTTTACCTGCCATTTACCTGCACATTTAAATAAAGCAGTTTACCTGCCATTTACCTGTACATGTGTTTGCGGCTGTCTACCCGACATCAACCTGTTCATATGTTTGCAACTGTCTACCTGACATTTACCTGTACACATGTTTGCAGTTGTTTACCTGACATTTACCTGTACATGTGTTTGCGGTTGTTAACCCGACATTTACCTGTACATGTGTTTGTGACTGTCTATCTAACATTTACCTGTACATGAGTTTGCGACTGTCTAACCGACATTTACCTGTACACGAGTTTGCGACTGTCTATCTAACATTTACCTGTACATGTGTTTGCGGTTGTTTACCTGACATTTACCTGTACATGAGTTTGAGGTTGTTTACCTGACATTTACCTGTATCTAATTTGTGACTGTCTACTCGACTTTTACAGCTGTCTACCTGACATTTACCTGTACATATGTTTGCGACTGTCTACCTGACATTTACCTGTATATATTTTGTGACTGTCTACCCGACTTTTACAGCTGTCTACCTGACATTTACCTGTACATGTGTTTGCGGCTGTCTATGGGACAGAATTGTATGGCCTTGAACACCAGGTTATGGACACAGGGGTAGTCCATGCCCCACAGATCCGTGTTGAAGAAGCCCTCTGGACTATGGTAACAGCTGCGGTCATGGGTCACCGTCCTGTTGTCATGGAAACAATGTTGTTTACATAAATGGATACCAAATAAGCCTTAATACTTAAAATATAGTACTGTAAAACATTTCAATAAATTTTAACTAACCTTTCTTTTAATATTTTTTCAAACTGCTTTTTTATTTTTGAAATACATTTCTACTCTATTTGGATTCTATGAAACTAACAAATATAGCCAGTTTCATTTGCCCTTGACATTGCTTAAGTTACCCTTTGGGCCTCGGTAACTTCAGCACATAAAATGAAGTCACATCAATTAATTTACACTAACTATGTTGGATACAATCCACAGGTTTTCTTTACAGTACAATGTATGCTGAAGGTTCAATGGAAATACTGTACCTGTGGGAGCCCTCTGGTAGATCGTACTTGTCTAGGAAGACTGTAGACTGACAGCTCTCCGGGTCACTGACACACTTCTTCTCTCTGTCATCGTAGTCTTCAGCCACGTAGCACGACTGTGGAAACAGTAGGATCAAGGTAAATTCTCATTTCTACATCTAGATTCACATTTCACAGGAGATTTATGTACATTTCTCCTACACTTCACATGTTCCTACCCATTTTAGGTAGGGATGATTATATATTTTCCCTAGGTAGGGAAAGACAACTCACATATGTCCCTATTTACATGTCCACTGCCCGTTCCTCTATAAGCATTACCATAAGACATTACATAAGACATTACCATAAGACGTTACATAAGACATTACCATAAGACGTTACATAAGACATTACCATAAGACTTTACATAAGATGTTACATAAGACATTACCATAAGACATTACATACGACATTACCATAAGACTTTACCATAAGACATTACCATAAGACATTACCATAAGACGTTACATAAGACATTACCATAAGACATTACCATAAGACGTTACATAAGACATTACCATAAGACATTACCATAAAATGTTACCATAAGACATTACCATAAGACTTTACCATAAGACATTACCATAAGACGTTACCATAAGACATTACATAAGACATTACAATAAGACTTTACCATAAGACATTACATAAGACATTACCATAAGACATTACCGTAAGACGTTACCATAAGACGTTAAATCTCCTACCATGCAGTACAACAAAAGTGGCTGTGACAAGTTACCTGCTCCATGATGTGTCGTACAATCAGCTGCTCCACTGGTGTCACAAACACGTACTTGTTCTCTGTTAGGGAATTGTTCAGGCAATCCTCGACCTTTTGACCTCCGTAGGACTGGCGAGAAACTCCACCCTCAATTACATAACCTGTATACAACATTTATTGATAAAGTGTTATTTCAGCATTTCTTTTTTTAAATGTTCATTTATTCACCTAATGAAAATGTAATACTTATATGTAATAACTACGCGTATATATAATGAGAAGAAAACAAAAGTGGAATTCATTAAACCTGAACCCTCCAAACTGTCATTTCATGGTAAAATAAAGTGACCTCAATTTCATTTTGAATTTCAAGATATGCACTTCATATATGTGGTTACTTTCTATACATATAATACACTGCAGATTTTATATTCTACAATTATCTAGAGCTCTGCTATCCGGACGGTCTTCACTATACAGCCACTTAAGTCCGGTAATGAAAGTACTTGTAGCTGAGTGTTTGGAGCTAGTTCTATTGTCAGTAACACAAATAAAGTGACAATAAGACACAACATTACAAATCAAACTTTTATATTAGATCTGTCTGACAACTAAAAACATAACATTACAAATTAAATTTTTATATTAGATCTGTCTGACAACTAAAAACATAACATTACAAATTAAATTTTTATATTAGATCTGTCTGACAACTAAAAACATAACATTACAAATTTAACTTTTATATTAAATCTGTCTGACAACTAAAAACATAACATTACAAATTTAACTTTTATATTAGATCTGTCTGACAACTAAACCCATAACATTACAAATTAAACTTTTATATGAGATCTGTCTGCGACTAAAAACATAACATTACAAATTAAACTTTTATATTAGATCTGTCTGACAGCTAAAAACATTACATTACAAATTAAACTTTTATATTAGATCTGTCTGACAACCAAAAACATAACATTACAAATTAAATTTTTATATTAGATCTGTCTGACAACTAGAAACATAACATTACAAATTTAACTTTTATATTAGACCTGTCTGACAACTAAACCCATAACATTACAAATTAAACTTTTACATTAGATCTGTCTTGACAACTAAAAACATAACATTACAAATTTAACTTTTATATTAGATCTGTCTGACAAATTAAAAACATAACATTACAAATTTAACTTTTATATTAGACCTGTCTGACAACTAAACCCATAACATTACAAATTAAACTTTTACATTAGATCTGTCTTGACAACTAAAAACATAACATTACAAATTTAACTTTTAAATTAGATCTGTCTGACAACTAAAAACATAACATTACAAATTGAACTTTTATATTAGATCTGTCTGACAACTAAAAACATAACATTACAAATTTAATTTTTTATATTAGATCTGTCTGACAACTAAAAACATAACATTACAAATTGAACTTTTATATTAGATCTGTCTGACAACTAAAAACATAACATTACAAATTAAACTTTTATATTAGATCTGTTTGACAACTAAAAACATAACATTACAAATTTAATTTTTATATTAGATCAGTCTGACAACTAAAAACATAATATTACAAATTTAACTTTTATATTAGATCTGTCTGACAACTAGTTATCAATATTATTACATTGTTATCGGTTTTATTTCACGGTAAACCACTGACCATCACATATGGGCAGGATCTCCATGCGCTGACCGATGTCCACCAATATGCCGGAAGTTTTCTGATAGGAGTAAAGAGCCAGTAGGGACTGCATCACCATACATACCCCCTTAACTTGGAACTGACCAACGAGAATCTCAAACAGTGCAGCCTTCAGCTGGTCAGCCAGGTTCTGAGGTGTACTCATCATGATCTGAGGTCAGAGGTCATATTTTTTATTAAGGCAATCATTTAAAATTTCAATGATAAACTGGTATAGACTAGATCAACAAGTTTCCCAATTCACTGTTTTCACTGTTTCATGGTATATAGAACTGTTGTGGACAATAGAATACTTTTTTTTCTGTCAGAACAGGAGGAACTGGTCCACATGATTTTAATGAAGGTATCATATGGATGTTGTGGCTTGCTTGATATTTTTCAGGAAGGATTGGTCGTCAACAGTTGGTCTTCTGTATTGTAGTTATGGCCATTCCATACAAACAGAAACAACTATTAAGCATTTGAATTTCATTTTCCAAAAATACGTTTTTTTTCTCCCAATGAGGAAACTGAAGAAATGTTTTTTTTCTATGATGTTGAATTCAGGATTAAAACAGTGAAATATCATAACAGTCTCTTTTGACAATGTTGTGCTATCATACCTACCCAGTTCTGAGAAGGAACAGTGTTTTGGTGCCCTATACAGAAGTGATAAGGGCTAGTGTTGTGCTATCATACCTACCCAATTCTGAGAAGGAACAGTGTTTTGGTGCCCTAAACAGAAGTGATAAGGGCCAGTGTTGTGCTATCATACCTACCCAGTTCTGAGAAGGAACAGTGTTTTGGTGCCCTAAACAGAAGTGATAAGGTCCAGTGTTGTGCTATCATACCTACCCAGTTCTGAGAAGGAACAGGGTTTTGGTGCCCTATACAGAAGTGATAAGGGCCAGTGTTATGCTATCATACCTACCCAGTTCTGAGAAGGAACAGTGTTTTGGTGCCCTATCCAGAAGTGATAAGGGCTAGTGTTGTGCTATCATAACTACCCAATTCTGAGAAGGAACAGTGTTTTGGTGCCCTATACAGAAGTGATAAGGGCCAGTGTTGTCACTATGAAGGCCGGGGCTGATACTTACCCAGTATTTTGAAGGGTCAATGTTCAGGTCAGTAAATATTTTCTGTAAGACAGCCGGCATCACCTCAGTGTCAACATTGAACTGAAATCAGACAGAGAGAATGATGTAAGTTATCTCCCTTTGACTAAACTATGTCTGCTCTCAGAATGTTTTCCCTGTGTGCAAATCATAATCATTGATTATTAAAGGACACAAATGTCAAAATATTGTCGACAAGTTATTTAAGTACACAAATTGTGATGACTTGTCGTTAAAAGTATACAAATTGAAATCATAACCGTCCTTGGAACAACTTTCAAGGACAACATAGAATTAAATCGCAAAATACTTAGACATACATTGACCGGTACCACAGATGTTGCATTTAATTTGTCCAAAAGAATTGGCAGGACACATTAGTTTCTGTTAACCAGACATCTGTCCCAAAAGTTTCTTCATATGTAAATGTACGAAAAATAAATCGTGAATATAATATTTATACATGTATATTCTTTTTCAACTGTCTGTTTAACAGACAAAAATCCTACAAACAAACGTTTTGCTAAGACGCTAATTATGTATTCTAATCCTACAGCCACCAATTAAATTTACAATAAAAGAAAACTAACTTAACAAGGAAAACAGCATTTAAAAAACATCATGTGCAAAGTGTTTAAGAAATAAGCACATTTTCGTTTTTTGTGTAATTTATGGAGTGTTTTTATTTAAAACCGTGATCATTTCCAAAAGGTATCCCTTCAACAGCGGTTTATTTTACAGTATTGTCTAACCCACATCTACATGGGGGTTCAAATAGAATCAAATTCTCTAAAACGCACGGCAAAACAGGACAATTATGATATACATAATTCAGTTACTGTTATTTAAGGTAACAAAGGGAGGTAGCTTTATTTAACATGTTACAGTTAATGCAGAAAATAAAGCGTTATAATATCCCATCACGTGACATCCGTTTTGCCAGGGCACGTGTTTAAAAAATAAATAAATGTGGCAACATTATCCTGTAACAGAAGCGACAGGTTTTACGCTAATTAAGTAAGATTAAGTTGACGAGTTACTTGTTATCCGACACTTTTGCTGCAGGTATCAGATCGTTAACTGTGAAAGCACAATGTCAACTGAAAATCTGAATCTGGTAAAAAAGATTTCTGTACATTTCTGTAAATAACCCTTCTAGTAATCTATAGAGAAAGCTATAATTCTCTCTCATCTGTCACTGATTATCACATTTTATTTCTTATCAAATCAATACTCCAATAGCTTTATTTCATAAAGGTGTGATATACTTTATACTGGAAACACGTTCACCTGTCCTGCAGATTACAAATATACAACTGGATTTTGTTCATTAATTATTTCATATGTACACACATATATATAAATTAACATTTTACAGTTAAGCTATTATAATTGGTTTACATTCACATTTTTATTTTATATTTTATAAACTGTACTATAAATCACAGACTTTGGGATTTTGTGTGACACATATAATATGATATTTCTGTAACGAATGTGCAACGAGGGAACACAGCTCTGAAAAGGAACGAATTGAGGTAAGAAGCAAAAAGCAAGCAAAAGGAGTTTCTATAGAAACAAAGGAGAGTTCCACTGTCAGAGTGGTGAAACATACTGGCCGTTTCTAACTATCATCTAAACAAATTTCCACCACCATCGTTCTACCTACACATCAAAACATCTAGAAACACCAACTTCTACAGGTATAATTCTTCAAATAAGACATCATGCCATACAATTCCCCGACTGTTTCAGCTTTGAATTTTATAAGGCTATAACACATCAGAACACCCTGCTTTGTGATACCCCTCATTTAGATATGTACTGCCAAAGTCAATCTTATTAATGGTGTGAACAAACCTCATCTTCAAGAAATTGCTATCCATATTCTATAATAAGCACTCATAAGCTTTTCAAGCATTCTTGGGAATTAATTACATAAAAAATAGTGACTTCACATACCTGCTAACCCTCCCTATTTAGGAGAGAGACTTCTGATTTTGGACCCTAAAATTTAGTTTTTTAAACCAGTGAATTTGATATACAATTCCTTTATTCTAAGATATAATTATTTCATCTGAAAGAACAACTCACAATACTTTATTGTAAAGGATTACTTTGTCTATAGAAGGTAATAAACACATTTTATGTAGGTTTTAATTTTAAGCATGCAGAATCTCCCCCATGGAAGTTTCAATAAGTTGGCAAGTATGACGTCAGATTTATAAACATATGCCAAAATTCGTCCACAGTTCCGGGTGAAAAATCACACTTACACTTATTTACGTAAAATAAGCATAAGTGTGATTTTCACCTAAGACCCAGGATGATCAAAACTTTTAGTGGAAACAATTTGATATGTCTAATATATTAGTTGATCTGTAAGTAAACCCAAATAAAGTCAGTCAAGGTTTTGTGTAAAGTTGTGGGGTGATTGAAACAAAAACAGCAAAAGTTTTAATCAAAATAAATATAATTAGATAAAAAGAGACTTGGAGCTACTGGAACCAGACACTTTTGGATCTAAGGGGGGCCAATCACTGGGGAGGTGAGCACAGCATTATACCTACCTCAGGTGACCAAAGGATGCATGTGTTTCAATGAATAGAGGTTGGAGGAGGAGGAGGAGGAGGAGGAGGAGGAGGAGAAGTGTCATTGTCCATCATTATCAGCTTAACTTTGTGGGGTGTGCGATAAACAAGTTGTAGTAAAAACAATTAAAGAATATCAAATCCAAAAAATCAAATACTAAAACGAAGTAAGACAGAATCAAAACTCATGATTACCGAAGAGCTGTATATGTTAGAAACACAAACAAGTGTGTGTGATTGGGCGTTAGTAATAAGCAAGGCATACAACAACCACAACAACAACATCATGCAAATGAGGATGACAAGGGGAGGTAACAACAGGAATAAGTGCACCACTAGGTGGTAGCACTGTGTAGGGGAGAACTTACTGCCTTCATATGATCCTGTGAAATGTAAAATGGACACAAACAAGTCAGCATCAGTGTACATAGCTATAGTAGCAGTGTTCACAATCTTGTTGGCTCACCAAAATTATAACTTCATCACTGACAGAACAGTTATCACTGTAAATAATAAAATCACTTTAACTTTTTATTAACTTAAAGAAGCAAAATAAGGCGATTCATTGTTTCAAAATGGCCAACAAGACCCTGAAGCAAAGTCTCCAACTGCTTGTGTTAGGAGTATAGTATTTCATGCAATAATACAATATGGTAGAGATTATGTATGATACGCTCCTAAAACTCACTGTGTTGATCAAATGACATTTCTAAACGCCCGACTTTCGTACATAGTTTCCAGTATCAACAGAGGTAATGAATGTCTTGTTTACTGGTGGCTAATTGAAAAAGAATATCTACTCAATCATATGATATTTTTCTTTCTTAACATTTCTTTAATTCTAAAATTGTACAGCTGTCAGAATTTGCAATAAAACTTAAACAAACACTCACTATACAGTTATACAATCCAAAAGAAGAAACCACTCAAAAGTTACAATCTAGGAAATATAACATTAAATAAATCTTTTTTTAAAGTCATGGATCATTGAAAATTCTACAGTTTGTAACTAAACAGATCAGGCAATGTGGTCCAACCCATCTTACAGGTTACTGTCATAGGATGGTAAACCTCAAGTCTTGTGATGTAAACCACACAAGTACTGTTAACAAACCCAGTGATGTTAATAAACCTAGTGAATCAACAAACCCAATAATAGTAACAAACCCAGTAATGTTAACAATCCTAGTGAATCAACAAACCCACTAATAGTAACAAACCCAGTAATGTAAAAAAACTAGTGAATTAACAAACCCACTACTAGTAACAAACCCAGTAATGTTAAACAAGAGGCCCATGGGCCTAAACGGTCACCTGAGTCTACAGTATTTATTTTTGTTGTTGAAATATGTACCAATTTGAGTAAAAAATAGTATAATGTTAACTTAACTTTGTCAGGACCATGAGCTGATCATTCCTAGACCAATTTTAAGTGAGATCGGCCTATTAGAACTTAGTAGCAAAATAGC